TATTTAATTTGCTTTGAAAGAATTTTTTTAAGCTTCTTTAAGTATTTTTCTTCAGGATTTTATTTTGTTATTTGACTTTATTAAAAAATAGAAACGATAAAAAGTATAAAAAATTCTAGTTGAACAAGTTTTTCATGAATTTTTTAATAATTTTAATTTTAACATAATTATTGTTCATAAATATTTACGTCAAGGAAAATAAAATGTGTACTGGAATCACAATTTTATAATATAATTTATTATAATCTTCCATCCATGTTTTGAATTTCATAATTTTTATGCACAAATAATGATTTCTGCTTTTTAAATATTTCATACAAGCCTTCACTTTTTACACAAATTAAAAGAAAGATACACAATTACCTTCAGAGCATCAATTTTATTTTTCAATGAACATTGTTTTTATTTTTTACTCGCGCGAATTTGCTCAGATTGAAAAGTTCGGCGTGCAGCTGGAGCCAAAATTCAAATGGCAGCGCGCGCGAGACGTGCAAAATAAAAATGCAAAAACTGACCGGGTGAAGCTCGCGGTGCGTCTCGCCGGCTGCAAAATGCAACAGGAAGTCGGTCGTCGTCAATAACAAGACTCGCTCGTGCTTTCGGCGTCGCACTTCGGCGAATGCTGCGCCGCCATGAGCAAGATCTACGTCGGCAATTTCGGCCGCGTGCTCGGCGCCGAGGAACTCGAGCACATTTTGCGCGAGCACCACGTGCAGTTCGAGTCGGCCGCCCTGAAACGCGGAACCTACGCCTTCGTGCAGTGCCCTTCGGTGCAGCACGCCAACGCGGCCATCGCCAGGCTCAATGGTCAGTACCTGAAAACAGGGTGGTCGCCGTCTGGGGTTGGTGCAAAGAAAGGCTTCTTGTAGATTGGCAGAGGCCGACCGGTTGCGGGTTGGGGCCCTGCGATGGGGGCGGCGTCCTTTGATTTTGAATTTTTTGTAAGGAATTGATCAAAATGTTTAACCTAAATGCTTAAAAATTAAATTTTTTGCAAGAACGTGATTAAATTTTGTTTAGGGTTAATTAAATATTGCTTTTTTGAACGCATTTTTTGCCAAATTCGAATTATCGTTTTTATTTTGCGTTCAAAATAATAATTGTGATTTACAAAATTTTCAGAAATTTTCAGAAGTTTTCCTTTTTGACAAAGCTAAATCAATAAGTCTTTGGATAATGATTTTTATAATTCTTCCATTGTTTTGGCAGTTGCTAAAAATTTCTACTATTGTTATTGTTTGATATAGCTTTGATGATTCAAAGAATTTATTGTTGTTCTTTGTTGTTTAATTTTTTACAAATTTATGTTAAAAAAAGACGGCAATTATTGGAAGAAGAAATTTGTTGTGGACAAAACTGGACCACTAAATTTTTTCAACATTTTAAAAGAAAGTCTTTTTACAACAATAATGGTTAAAATTTCAAATTTTTTTTTTACAATAAGTATGGCTTGCATTGTTATGGAGACTTTGATTTGACAATGCCTAAAAATTCAGCGTTTTAGAATCTGTTAAAACGGTACATTAGCTTTAATTTTTCACCCACAATATTTATTTTTTATTTTTACAAATTGATGCTGTATGAAAATTTTCAGCTCCTCTTTTCAAATTGAAATACAAATGACTTTTTTTTTCAATATATTTTCATTTCAGGCTTTGCTATTGTTTTGATCTTCTAATTTTTGTTATTTTATTATGTAATTAAATTTTTAAATTTTATTAAAAATGTCATCTTTACGTAATTTGCACGTGCACTAACTTTGCAAGCACACTCGGAAACGGCACAACAATTCGCGAGATTGTGTCCGGTCGGGACCAGCACCGGCCGGTGAATGAGAGCTTGATGCGTGCAGCGGCGGCAGCGAAGGAGTTTAGATACACCTACCTGCCAGCACCGAGAGTAATGACTAGTCGTGGTGGGGGGTAATTGAACCTGTATGACCGACCGAGAGCATGTAAAGTACTAGTAATGTGCATACACTGCCAGGAATTTCCCACCGCAATTGTTCGCGACGAGGGAGGGGGTCATTTGCGCGCACTTGCTTACCAATCAAAGTTCCACGATCCCAGTAATTTCACCAACTAGGTTGCTTCATTTACTGCCATTTTTACGGGGGTCGATGTTGAGAAAAGCAATTATTTAAAATTTACCTTTACCTGTCTTATGATTGAAAATAATTTGCAATTTTGATTCATTTCTAACTATTTTAAGTTATCAAATTTTATGAAATTACAGGGTTGTTTAAAAACCTTCCAATAATGAGAAATTAAATTATTTTTTATTTTAATCTTTAAATAGCTAAAAAACCAAAAAAAATTATGTTTTATTATATTCATCTTTCTCTTTTTTCCAATATTTTTTTTTGTACATTTTAGATTAGAGTTTTACTTTAATTAATTGATCAATTTTCCCATCGAATTGGTCTAGACAAGGAACCCATTACATACTTTTTATAGAGGTGGATCGAAGGAAACACCATTTTCGAACAGCCACATCGTTTCACGCGCCGCCCGAATGTGTTTGGAAAGAAGTTTTTCGCAAACACGCCTCGGCTGTCGCTGCTATAATGCGATGCTGTGCTGGGTGCGGGGAGCCCTAACATCAAATAAATTTCGCTACGAGCCAAAGGCATCGCGGATTATCTCGGCGAAGGCCATTCCCATAGTAAAAAGATCGTCTTTGTGCTGCACAATAAACACATGACTGCGATATCGCTGCTTGTGCATCTTTGCATGAAAGAAATAATAATTTATTTTTGATTTTTTTATTTTTTATTTTAACCAGTTTTAAATGCTTTGCTTGCAGGTTTTCTTTATTTTGGAACTCCACTCATTGTTGAACGCGCCAAAACCAGCTTCAACAGAAAAAGGTAAGATTTTTTCCTAAAAATTATTTCATCATTTTGCACCTTTTTTTCTGCAAATAATTTCGAGAACGGTGTTTACGAGGCTCTTTTGTGTGTAATTTGCCAAGTGCGGTAGTGAAGAGTTGCGCCTTCCACTTTTTTGAAGGTAAATTGCACGTGTGGCGGCCTTGATCTGTACACAGCCGATACACTTTCGGTTGATTTTTGTAATTTGCTAGTTGCCCGAGCATGAAAATAAAGTATTTTTGTATAGGAGAGCATGATGATGGGGGAACGGAACGGTGTAGAACACGAGATTAGCAACGGATGGGGGTAAGTAGAGTTAATTAATATATTTGCACAAAAAGTTCAGGTCTATATTAGAGCCTTTTAATTAGAGTTAATTTAGAAAGACCCGAGTTTTTCATACTTTTTTTGGCCAGAGGTGCGAAGTTGTTCACGGAACTCAAGTTTGAGCTCGATTTTCCGTGTAGTTTTAAACACGTGATTAAGTAAAAAGCCGACTGGCCTGCTCTGGCCATTATCATGAAGCAAGGTTCTAATTATTTTTTACACGCCTGACGAGCGACTTTTCGAGTCGTAGCTGCTCTTTATGAAAAAAAAAAATATAATCACACCTTTTGAAATGGAATTAATTCCAAAATGCAGAGCGGCCATTGCCCTCGTCTTTTTTTAATTGCGTTCTTCTCTTTCCTGCTGAATTCTATACGTTTACACGCAAAGCAATCAACGTAATGATGCCTAACGAGCTAAGTTAGTTTGAAGAATCGGTGAAGTTGAACAACTTGAATTGAGGATGAAAGTTTTCCGTTTGGTAGTTTTAAAGTGGAAGCACGGATTTGAAGTCATAAAACGGTAGAGTTTGATTAATTATTGAATCTTATTTCATAATGTTTTATTTTTTTATTAATTTCTGTATTGTTGATTGAAACGCTAGAACTTCAAACAATGCAAAAATTGACAATTTTAAAGCGTGATATTTGGTTTTGGTCAAATTTCATTAATTTTAAATTTTGAGGATATCGATAGTTTTGTGCGGTTTTGTGAAATTTATACTATTTAGGCGCCTTTGCGATGAGTTATTGCTATAAATAAATGCTTTAATTTTGAGCACTTTTGCATAGAAAAAAATATAATCTCATGCATGGAGACATCTCTAGCATTCATGCATACAAAAGTGAATAAAAACTTTAATTAATTTTTAACTGTAACATGATGGAAGCCAACTGTGGCAGTTTTCCCTTGTGCTAAAGAGGTTTTCCTTGTTTAATACAAAACCAATTACTGGTGTGGATGGAGTTTTTTTTTTATCAGTAACGCAGAAATTTTGATAGTGCGATGGTGCCGTTTTGTCCAAAAATTCAGTTATCAACAATAGAAAAAAAACCAATTAATTTGAAACTACAATTTTCTATTGCAAAAAAATGTTTATACGTTTTTTGCTTTAAGGGCAGAAATATATAATTATTATAAATAACAGTCTTTAATAATTTACTTTGAATTGATTTTCGCCCCTTGAAAAAAGTCTATAAAATTTATCCCGCGTTTTTCCTCTTTTTTTAAGTTTTGAAGTAAATTTTTTACAAAATAAAAACCTTGTTCAGCTCAACAAGATTCGCTTAGACCTATAGCTCTCTCTCCCAAACTGAAAAGATCCATTTTCCGTTCCAAATATAGAGTGGTCGTTTCCGATTCCGGCCCCAAAATCCAAAGCCGACGGCAGATCTATTTCGAGCAAGCGTGCTTTGCCTTGCACACAGGGAAGACCGCGGCAATCAAAATTAATTAGTGTCGAGGGGTGCCGGCGTTTGTTTGAGCATCACGTGGCGCCTCCACCTCCGCGGCGCCAATCGCGTCGATAAAATTCGGCCGCCGCGAATCCAACTTATATATAATATGCATCTTCGCATTGGCCGCGAATAATTCCGCGGTCGCTCGCTCGAATTCCGTGAAGCCTTGGTTTTTCTACGCTGTGCATGTTGCCAGTGAAAGAAAACGCATGGGGCAGGCAAGCAAGAGAGCGAGTGAGCGAGCGAGAGAGCGGAGAGCGCGCGCGAGCAGGAGGGAGAGAATGGAGATAGAAGGAACCACCATAATAAAACAGAGAGGAGGGGATATATTTTTTTGAGTGGGTCTTTTAGTAGTTGTGGAGCAAGCGCCGAAGAGAAGCCGGCGGCCCGTAGAAGCGAGCGACGAAGAAGTTTTGTGAGTGGTGTGCGTCTCGTGTGCGTGCAGATATCCACCGTTTTCGGCCACCCTTTCGGCACCCACGCCTCGCGGTACTCCGTGTCCGAACGAGGGTAGTTTCGGGGTGAGTGAGAGACTTGGTTAGTTCGCCGCGAGAGGCCCGCCAAGGGATGGATTTCGACGACCCGGGACAGCACGGTTCGTCCGATGACCACGTCTCCTCGTCGGACGAGAACTGTGCTCCGAGGTGAGACCCGAAACCACCCTATTTACAAATTTCACCCCCTACCATCCCTAAATCCTAATCAAATTTAATTATTTTTTTTTCATTTTAAAAATTTCAAAATTTTTCCTTAAAATATTTTAATTTTTTTATTAATAAGATGTTTTTTTTTTTATTATTTGTGGCTCGGATGCTATTTTTAATAGCCGCCGATTTCTTTTCCACTTCATTCCACGAGGAATGAAATTAATCATGCGCCATGGCCGCCGCCGCACCAAGCCGGCCGGCTTTTGTGAGCTTGGAATTATTCTGCTGCTGGCTTGCCCGCCCCAAACGCACTTTTTTACGCACTCGGCACGACCGTGTGCGTGCTTTGTACGCCTGGTAACGCACTTATCTAACTGCTGTTATCGGATACTTTCGGCTGCAAATAGACTCGCTGACACGCTCAGGGTTGCCATACCTGAATTCAGTCAGTTATTTACTCGGATAAAGTAATGAACCTTTGGCAAAGAATGAGTCAAACTTGAGCTTCGCAACTTCCATTCTTTTTATTTATTTTTTTAAAGGGTGAATGGCTGAAAAAAGTTGTATTTGCTCTCAAAATTCGTGTTTTTGTCGTCTTATGTTGAAATATTTAAAAAAAAGTTATTTGGTTTTGGTATAAGACAAAAGCGCAACTCTAAAGATTTTTGGGGAGATCTTCTCAAATAATTTTTTTACACAAATAGATAGTTTTTATATAATAACAAACAAAATTGGATTAATTTTCTTAAAAAAATGGAGTTGTTAGTTATTTTGTTTGTTTTTAAAGTGACTTATTTACGTCCAAAAAAAAAAATGTGATTGTTAAAGGTAAATTATTGTCACTTGTCACTTCTCAATCACCAATCAAATTTATGTTAGAATTAATCCATCGAAGTTCTCCACCAAAATTAAGAATAAAATTACTAGATACGTGTTCAAGAAGAAAATTAAAGCAGAATCTGAGGGAGAAAAACACCAATTGTTTAAGAATAATTAGAATGTTAAATTTTTAACAACTCAAAAATGATATTTTTAAATAAGTTATTTACAAAAAGAGGAGTCATTTTTTGCAATAATTAGAAACAATAAGAAATTTTAACCCCCATTGTTGTAAAGACTTGATTTTTTGACTATTTCTGTGAGGAGTCCTTAAGAGTTAAATTTTTATATATAAACACTAACACAAATTTGCGAACAAGGCTAACTGTAATTATGCTGATTTTTGTCTTTTCCTCTTCTTGTGTACTTGAAATGAGAAAAAGTAAATTTACAGGATTCTTAGACATAAAAGGCACAGTAATTTTTCTAAAAAAAGCAATGAAATAGAAAATAAATCTACAGACGTTAAGCTTGGGGATTATAATTTCTAATCCATTCAAAATGGAAAATTACTTGAAGAAATTCTCCAGTCAGGAATTTTCCCTTCGATCGCTTTTTGAATCTGATTTTGTGTGTAGCAATCTTGTTGACTGAACGGTGCAAATTCCGCCACCACGCCCTGAAAGCGCTGCACAAGTTCAATCATCGTCGATAATGCGAATTTGCGTCACAGTAGCAGGAATTCGGAAGATTTTCCGCAGCACCGCCTGCTGCGTGCTGGCAGCGAAAAGCAAATGCCGCAGGCTCTTCTTCACACACACCTTGTGCTGGAATGCCGCGCGCACCTATAATGCTAATTAATTCACTCGGTATGGTTTTGCGAAATGCTGCCCGTGTCATCATCATTAGCCGGCCGCGCTGATTTGATGGGCAGGACAAACCAGATCTTGAGAGGGTCTAGACTGACCGCCGAAGTGTCTGGCCGACCTGCACTTTCTCTGCGCCGCAACTCCACGTGCGTCCTACTTGCACCGGTCCTTCCTGGGGCGAGGCAAACTCACTCCTGTCCGCGAACCCTGACCCCCTACAGCGACAAAAGTTGCCAAAAGTTGCCTCCTTTGAATCAGGAGAGAAAAGTTGATTTGATTTAGATAAATTCATTTGAAAGAGGAACTGAGAATTTGACTGCGAAACGATTCAATCAGGTTTTAATTGTTGTTTTAATTTTTCCAATTGATGCAAAAACTTTTATATCAGAAATAAGAATCAATTTAGGATGCAAAAATTGAATTTTTGGACAAAATGGAACCACCCCTGGCAATAATTTTGCTAAAACTCCCTAAAAATTAATTTAATGAAAGGTTTTACTTTTAAATCATACTCAAATTTAATTCCTATAATAGATAAAGTTTTGTATTGCTTTCAATATACGCAATTTAAAAAAAAAAATAGGAACTCACTTTCCAGTCCTCTTACTTAGTTAATTAGGTTTTGAACAAAATAAGGCTAGGATGTTGGGCTGTCAAAACGAAATTTGTCAAAATTCCTCAGAAACCTGATGAGCATATTAACCTTGGGAAGATTAAGATATATTCTTCCTCCTCTTCTTTTTTACTTGTAATTAAAAAAAACTCTGCTGCTTAACAAGTAACATGCCTTTTGATACAATGAGAAAACATCAACAATCGGATGACGCGCATCAAGATCCGTCTGATAATTTTCAAATTAAACGCGTGCTATATTTACGTACATGGATTCGCAGTGGCCAGCGGTCCCTCTCGCGATTGCGAATTCTTCTCTCGCGCTTCCGGCCGTGGCTGCCTTTGAATGGCGCTTCGCGGATTTCACAGCGATGAAGTCAGCAAGCAAGACCCACCAACGAATGCAAATTTTTTTTTTACAATAGCGATACTTGTGGTCACGTGGCGGTCCAAATATTAAGAGGTGGAAGAGGAAGAAAAGCGCTTGACATTAGTTGACTTTCAGAAAGTGGAATTAATTTTGAAAATTTAAATTTAAAAAAAAAATTAATTTTATTTTAAAAATTCGTGTTGCATTTGATTAAAAATTGCAATTTTATTAAATTATTAACTCCGGACTTAAATTCAACTTCAAAGAGTTTGTATATAAAAAAAAAATTGTCGCGCACTCGCACAGCCTGCAACTTCCCACTTCCTGTTTTGCCTTGGCGAAGCAACAATGTCTCAACGTTGTACTGTACATGACTTTTCATCGCATTATCGTGAATGCGATTCATGTGACTGGCACAATAAATATTGATTCACGCGCCGTTCTGCGGCTTATAATGTGACGGATGCCCCTGAGAAATCGCGTTTATTTTCTCGGCCGTGCAAAGACCTTTGCGAGACAGGCGCATTCCTCCAATAAATAAGTCGCTGCGAGTCATTTCTGAATGCAGCTGCCGACTGTGAAATGCAATCCGGTTTCTCGTAAAATTGCATACTATACTGACGTGGTGTGTAATCACGGAAATTAGCACGCACCGCAAAGCCAATTTAAGTCAATTTTCAAGCGATCCAACCAAGGAAATTGCTTCCGATTATGGAAATGGTAAAAAAAAAAATAATAATACAGACAAACACAAGAAGAACAAAAATCGATTAATTTACTTAGTAATTTATATATCAGTTTTAGGTAGAAAATTTGGTTGGATTTGCATATTCATTTAAAATTATCTTAAAAAAAAATTCATTTTAAATGTTGATATGTTTGATTTAAATTTAAACTAATCTTCAGAGTATCTCAAGTTGCAGCGTGTAAGTTGCATGTAAAAGTTAGGAAATTTCAAGATTTTAATCAAAAGTATACATTTGAAAAACCACTTTCATGGGCTTGTAGTTTCAAGATCTAAATAGTTGTAAAATTAAAAATATAACTTACAGAATGTCTGGTTAAGTCCTTAATTTTGAATAATTCCAAATTATCTTAAAATTTTGTCATTTTAAAATACCAACTTTAACCTAAACATCCCAATATAACTTTTAAGTCTAGGAACAACTAATTTGCGCTGAGAATCCGCAGTTGTATATCATCCAAGACGAATTCAGTCTTGGCAGGCGATTTAAATTTTCAAGATAAATGGCTTTATTTGTTTGCTCTGGAGTTGAGGTGACCTGCGACGAGAATGATAATAATTTTCTCAGGCTCTCTGCCTTGCCTGCCTGCCTGGCAGCTTCTCTTTTTCTTTCTCTCTCTCAGCAGCGTATAAATGTTGTGCGCTCTCGCGTAAAGGTACAAATAAATAAGCAGCAAAAAAGTTATATAGTTTTATACCTGCGCGGCCTCATTTGGGCAGTGTGTGTAGTAGTTAAGTTGCTGCAAATAAAATTCCAGGAAAGAGCGACAAAAGCAGGTTTGAAAAACACACACTCCATAAAGGTCCATTCTCTCTCTCTCTCTGGCGGCGGCAGCTCGTTTCTCGTTACCGCCACTCACAGATGCAATAAAATTTATGAAATTCAATTTTATTATTGTGCCACAAGCAGCAGCAGCAGCAGCAGCCACCCTGCTTATTATTCTCTCATCTCTCATTAAAAACTTCTTCCTTTTGTCACCTCACAATCAGAAAAGCACACAGGCATATAAATTGAAAGATGGAATCCGCCGTCACTTGCGTGAATAATTTGGCGAAACCCTTCGAAAAAGATTTTATCTCACCGCCAATCACCGCTTGATTTGGTTGAGATTCTGCGAATCTTGGATGGGTCGAAATTTCTGCGAAATTCCGCAGCCTCCGGCATTTGCGCCGGATTTAAAAAGGAAAACAATGTTTAATTTATTAAATGTTAGGGAAATATAGGTGAACGTCTCATTGACCTTTATTCTGGAAAAGAAGGGTTCAAAGAAGTTCAAATTCACCTTTTTTGTGTGCTGAATATTTCCAGTTTTGGAATCACCTCACCTTTTTTTGCAAGAATTTGCGAATTTCCATAAAAATTATCATAATTACTGTACTCTTTAAATGAAGTCAAAAGTGGAGAGCAAAAACAAACATTTAAACTCGTCTGATATTTAAATAATTTATATTAACTGCTTTCATAGCAAAAAAGTCTTGGGGGCTCAATCAAGTTAAAATTTTAATTATTTGGAGTTTAGAAAACATTAAATCTCATTAATTATCTAAAATAAGTCGGGATTTATTAGAATATTCTTTGCTT